CACACACGAGAGAGAAGGGGGCGGAGCCTCGGGGCCGCTGCGCCTCGTGCGCTGCGTCCAGGCGCCCGCTCCTCCGGGTGCGGCTCGCCCGGCAGCCTTTTTGCACGCTGCGTGCAACGGCGCTGGCCAACACACACACAGATATGTGTGTGCATACACACGTAATACATACATACAGACAGACAGAGACAGACAGACGTACGCACTTACTTACATACATACGTACACAACACACACACACGTACACGTACACGTACACGTACACGTACACGTACACGTACACGTACACGTACACGTACACGTACACGTACACGTACACGTACACGTACACACATACATACATACATACATACATACATACATACATACAGACAGACAGACAGACAGACAGACAGACAGACAGACAGACAGACAGACAGACAGACAGACATGCATGCATGCATGCATACATACATACATACATAGGAGAAGGTCCCAGTTGCACCGAAGAGCCTTGATTTGAGTGCCCGGCCTCTGGCCCCTTCCCTGGGCGGCTTTTGGCCCAGCCCGGTACGGTCGGCAGGCTTCCAAATTGCTCCAAGGCGGCCCGAGGTCGCCGAAATATCGTTCCAAGACGCCAAATATGGCTTCAAGATGGCCCAGGAGGCACCCAAGACGCCCCAAGAGGCCCCCTAAGAGGACTCCCAAGAGGGCCTCCAGATGCAGAAATGGCCGCATTCCTTTCCGGAAAACGTATATGTTTAGAATGTGCGTCTCTGGAGCTTTCAGAGCATCCAAGACGGCCCGCGGACTCCCATATCGCCCCAGGACGGCCCAAGAGGCTCCTTACATGGCCCCGAGACGGCCCAAGAGAGCCCCAAACAGGCCCCAGAGGCCCCCAAGACAGCCCACGAAGGCCCCAGGACGGCCTCCAGAGGCGGCCCAAGAGGCGGTACCCGAAAGTCTCGGGGGCGGTCTCGTAGTGGTTGCCTCGGGTGCTCTGGCGACTCGGGCGCTGCCTCTGCCGGGCACGGGCAGGCTGCCAGCAGCTCCGACCTCCGCAGCAGCACTGCGAGGCGAGGCCTTTTGGGCTTCGTCGCCAGTGGCGCGGGCGCCTCCTGGTCTGCACGCGCGAAGTGGGTACAGAAGGAGTGGGTACAATGCCCAACAGCAGTTCCTGTTCATTTTGACCAGGGCTCGCCCTGGCATCGCTCGGACGTGTGCATTTTTTCTTCGGCGAGGACCATCGAGGAGCATCCTTGATCATTCGGCGAAAAAACCACGCACGAAACCGAAAATTATCCCGGCAAAGCAACCTAACAGCGATGTGTAGAAGCATATCTGAAAGCATTCCCCTTAAGATTCAGATGAAAATCCAGTTGTCGAATTCTGCTGTTCTCGCAGTCGTAGTCGCATTCGCGATGACAGTCGCAGCGGCAACGGCAGTCGCAGTCACAGCCTCAGCCTCAGCCTGCCTCCTCCTCCTCCTCCCCTCTTTTCTCCTGCCTCCTCCTCCTCCTCCTCCTCCTCCTCTTCCTCCTGCTCGTCCTCGTTCTCGTCCTCCTCGTCTTGCTCGTCCTCCTCCTCCTGGTGCTCTCTCCTCCTCCTCCTCCTCCTCCTCCTCCTCCTCCTCCTCCTCCTCCTGGTGGTCCTCGTTCTCCTCCTCCTGGTGCTCTCCCCCCCCCTCCTCCTCCTCGTCCTCCTCCTCCTCCTCCTCCTCCTCGTCCTCCTCCTCCTCTTCCTCCTCCTCCTCCTCCTCCTCCTCCTCCTCCTCCTGGTAGTCCTCCCCCTCCCCTCCTCCTCCTCCTCCTCCTCTTCCTGGTCGTCCTCGTTCTCGTCCTCCTCGTCTTGCTCGTCCTCCTCCTCCTGGTGTTCTCTCCTCCTCCTCCTCCTCCTCCTCCTCCTCCTCCTCCTCCTGGTGGTCCTCGTTCTCCTCCTCCTGGTACTCTCCCCCCCCCTCCTCCTCCTCCTCCTCGTCCTCCTCCTCCTCCTCGTCCTCCCTCCTCCTCCTCCTCCTCCTCCTCCTCCTCCTCCTCCTCCTGGTACTCCTCCCCCTCCCCTCCTCCTCCTCCTCCTCCTCTTCCTGGTCGTCCTCCTCCTCCTGGTCGTCCTCCTCCTCCTGCTCGTCCTCCTCCTCCTCCTGCTCGTCCTTCTTCTCCTGCTCCTCCTGCTCCTCGTCCTGCTCCTGCTCGTCCTCGTCCTCCTGGTCTTGCTCGTCCTCCTCCTCGTCGTGCTCTTGCCCCTGCTGAAAATGTGGCCCAGGAATGGGAGTTCTGGGAAGTCGAAGAGCACGAAGTTGCCTACAGTTGGCTACGGGCATTCAAAATGTGGCCCGGGAATGGAGTTCTGGGAACTCGAAGAGCACGAAGTGGCCTACAGTTGGCTCCGGGCATTCAAAATGTGGCCCGGGAATGGAGTTCTGGGAACTCGAAGAGCACGAAGTGGCCTACAGTTGGCTCCGGGCATTCAAAATGTGGCCCGGGAATGGAGTTCTGGGAACTCGAAGAGCACGAAGTGGCCTACAGTTGGCTCCGGGCATTCAAAATGTGGCCCGGGAATGGAGTTCTGGGAACTCGAAGAGCACGAAGTGTGTGACTGTTGCATCCGGTTATTCTAAATGTGGCCCGGGAATGGCGTTCTGGGATCTCGAAGAGCACGAAGTGTGTGACTGTTGCATCCGGTTATTCAGAATGAGCCTGTGTGTGACTGTTGGTGAAAAACGAGCGGGGCCCCCTGCCGCCCGGCAACTCCCAACGCCTGCCCGGACCCCCCTGTGGAGTGATCTGTGAGCTCTTTTGAGTCAACTAGAAACCTATCAGTCTTCGCTGTTAGGTAAAAACACAGGGAATGGACGTCCGAGCGATGGCGAGTGTCGCTGTCCGCGCAGAGCCGCGGCCCGTGTCCACTTGAGACAGGAGGCCGCCTGCCCGACAGCGGCCGCCTGTCGGTTTGGGACGACATGTGCTGTTGGGCGTTGTGCGCCCATTCTTTCCGCACCCATTTTGGGCGTCCAAACAAGGGGGCCAAGAGTCGCCGAGCGATTGGCCTAAGACGCTCCAGACCGCCTCCAGAAGGCCCAAGAGGCCTCCACCACGCCCCAAGAGGCGTCCAAGAGCCTTCCCAGGAGCTTAAGAGGAGCATGTACTGCTGGGCACTGTGCGCCCATTCTTTCCGCACCCATGTCGGGCGTCCGAATCCGGAGCGCAGGCCGAGCCCATCCGGGGGCCTCGGCCGACGCTGGCGGCTGCGGGCGGCACACCCACCTGCAAGCATTGGCGAAGCGTCCTGGCTCGCCTATAGCCCTGCCAAGCAATGTTCTAAGAGCCTTTCGTGGTTTCCGCGAAGTGTTCTTAGAACATTTCTGGTTGAGATTGTGTTGTTTTGACACATCGGGTTTACGTTCTAAGAACAGTGTTTGTTCTTAGAACGTTTTTGGGTTCTACGAACATTCCGTGGTAGAACTATCTACTATATGGATGCCAGGACGGCCGGTCCTTGCTCAACACCTGGTGTTGTACTTGTTCTGGCAGTGTTCAGTCATCAGCTGCCCACTCACCTGATTCAGCCTGCGAGGATGGCGCGAGTCGACTGGTGACCTTTCGCCGGATGCGATGCGATAGCAGCAGCTGGCGCGCACGGGTTTGGCCCCCCGCGTCCCCCGTCAGTCGCGCACCAAAGGCCGTTGCCTCTCTTGCGCGTAATCGCCGTATTGAAGCCGAGCGAGGCGCTCTGGCTGCTGCCTTCCAACTGCCTCCGAGCATACCCCGGGCCCCCGTCACTGTGTGCGGGCCGTACACACAAACACCGGGACGGTGATATTGGCCCACGGCGCCGGCTGACGCGTTCCAGGTTTGCCCAGGCACTCGCTTCGCCCTCGGAACCGTGAGTGGGAGGCAGGGTCGAGGTCTGGGGCGAGCCAGTGGCGCAAGGCGGTCGGCCCCCCTGAGACCTGCGGGTTCGTTTTCAGGTTCTTAGGTCGCGCGGTGGGGACTGGGCGCGGATCGAGAATCCGGTTAGTTCAGGGGCATTTGTTGAATAGGTTCCGGTCGTCAGCGGTAATTCAAGCTGTGGATGGTTGCCACATATTCTAAGCCTTCGGCCCCAAGACGCCCCCAGGAGACCCCAGGAACCTCCAAAAAGCTTCCAAGAGGCCCCGAACAGGCCCACACGCCCTGAGGCACTCATGGCGATCCCGAAGCTTCCAGAGAGGACATGGGATGAACGGCCGTCCTGACGCAATCTTGGACCGTCTTCGAGCTCAAGGTGCCCCCATCATGGCCCAGCAGGTCCCAGAAACGCCCGAAAGAAGAAGGTGCAGGACAGAGAGCCCTGGCACCGCCTCCTGTTGCCAAGTGGCACCGCCTCGAGCCCCCCTGGCCCCGAACCCCCGGAGCTCCCCCCCCTAACGTCAGCCCTCCCTCATCCCCCTCTCGTCCTTCCTCCTGCGTCCTCTCCCTTCCTCCCGAGGAGGTCTCCAGAGGCCCCCTGGAGGTCTCAAGAGGCAAGTCGTGAGCCTCCTCCCCATTTCTCGTTTCTCCTGCTCCGCCCTCCCTCCCTCCCTCCCTCCCTCCCTCCCTCCTTATCCTCCTCTTCCTCCTCCTCCTCTCAGTGGCTCCATACATTTTAAAACATTTTCCATGCCTGCCTGTCAATCTCAGCGAGAGCTTGCCTGGGCAGTTGCCTACAGCAAAACAAACATTTCCTCCTCCTCTCTGTATCCCCTTCAAGCGGGTCCAGCCGTGGCCACGAGGGATCCCCAGGAGGCCTAACACGGGTCATAGTAGGTCATAGACGCCGAACTCGATGATCGAGGTTCGCGGTTCGAGGATCGAGGATGTTGGGATGAGCAGGGGGACGAGAAGAAGGGAGGTGGAGGGGGAGAGGAGGAGGAGGAGGAGGAGGAGGAGGAGGAGGAGGAGGACGAGGACGAGGGGGAAGGGGGAGGAGGGAGGGGGAGGGGGCAAGTCAGGTGCGCTCGCGTCAACATCTGACATCCTACCCCTCCCTCCCATCCCTTACCATGGCGCTGATTTTCTCTATCCGCGGACGCGTGTCGTAGCGGACCTGTGGCTCCGCGCGCGTGTGCGTAGTGGGTGGTGGTGCGCGTGCGTGCGTGCGTGTGTGCGTGGTTGTGGTTGTTGTGGTGGTGGTGTGTATGTGTGTGTGCGTGTGTGCGCGTGTGCTGTGGTGTGACGTGGTGTGGCGTCTTGGTGGTTTGGTGGTGGGCCAGGTGCGTACGTGCGTGATGGCGGTGGTGGTGGTGGCGGTGGTGGTGGTGTGTGTCTGTGTGTGTGTGCGTGTGTGTGTGTGTGTGTGCGTGTATGTGTGTGTGTGTGTGCGTGCGTGCGTGTGTGTCTGTGTGTGCGCGCGTGTGATGTGGTGTGACGCGGTGTAGCGTGGTGGTGGTGGGTGGGGTAGTGCGGTGGTGGTGGCGGTGCGCGGTGGTGGTGCGCGTGCGTGCGTGCGTGCGTTGGTGGGTGGAAGTGGCGGTGGGTGTGCGTGCGGCGGGGCGGGGCGTGGTGCGGCGCGGTGGTGGCGGGCGGATGGGCGCGCGAGAAAGAGGCCCGCGCTGGGGCGAGAACGCCATCCTGGACGACGGAGGCAAAACACCGATCCGAAAATGAGGCCCACGCTGCAGCGGGAGCACGATCCGGAACGATTCGGGAGCAGAAATGAGGCCGGCGCCTCAGCGAGAGCAGGATTTTGCAAAACAACGCAGGCGAAAACCCAACTCCCGGGAATCCTGTGTGTTAGAAAACAGTACGCGGGGGGGTCGAATATTCCCAGCACGCCATCAGGGGAAGAGGGAGAGTAGTATTCATATTGAGTAATTGTAAAGAGGCAGGAAGGGAGCCCGGGGAGGAGTGTCGAACCTCGATCCCCCTCCTCCGTCTTCCTCTCGGTCTCTCGGTGCGAGGCCTGGGCCTCGACGTCGGCATCGAGAAGGGCTTCTACCTCCGTTGTGCTGCTCAGTCGTGCCCCCCTGCCCGGCCATGTCGCTGAGCAGCCCCACCCTTGGCTCGCCTTCGTCGTCGTCGTCCTCCTCCTCCTCCGCCTCCTCCTCCTCCTTCTCCTCTCGAATATCAAACAACTGTATGAACATGCAGTTTCGGAGTTCCGCGCGGACTTTTTGAATCGGCGCTGGACCCCCCTCCCTGGCGCGCAGAGTGCGCCAGGGGCGGGTCCGGAGGCGCCTCCAGGGGGTGTCCGGCGCCGATCCAGACAGCCGATGCTTTCACAGACAAGAGTCAAGACGGCCTCTTGGGGGCGGTATCAGTCGCGACGGCCGTCTGGCTGCTCAGGATCCTGAGCCAACCCTTGGGGAAGCCATCGGGACCTCCGGGGGCTCCGTATGGAGAATTACCCTGCGACGTACCCAACCCATGTGAATCAAAGTTGCAAGAGGCCTTCGCCCAAATGTACATGGTTAGCCAGAGCACATGCCGCTGGCAATACACACCGCTGCCAGCGAGATCACAGATCAGAGTGGCATCCTGGAGGCTCTGACGGCTCTAGCATCGCATACGTGCAGGCTACCAGGTTACAGGCTTTGTTCAGCACAGGGCAGAAATCTTGGACGGTACGCTGAGGTGCGCCTATGATTGTTTTCCGCGCCATGCAGGGTCGAGCCGCATGGTCTTCTGGGCGGGCTGGAGGCGTCGACGAGATCCCCCCGAGGTATACAATATTATTCCGTTCGTTGCTTACCTGTTGTTTTGGTCGTGCTTTGTGTGTTGGACCACCACTGCCCTCTATCTTGGAAGACTTTGGAATACGTCGGGAGTCCTGAGCAGGACGCGCACGGAACATTTACCTGAGAAAAGAGTTTACGTTGGATCGCCAAGTCAGCGGTCAGCCGAAAGTGGGATTCATGTGCGTTGGGAGAGCAGCTGCGTTCGCAAGTTCAGCCGGCAAACGTCGCGACTTGTGGTTCAAGCGGGGGAGACGGAGTACCGATTTCACATCGGTCATACGGCAGCTCCTACACAGCGCAGCAACATTTCGAGGGGTTGCCATATTTATCGCGTCTCTTGGTCTCCGAATTGCTTTCGATGACATGTTGCATGGCACACTTGAGAAGGGAATGCGGCGGCGGCGCATACACCCGATGACGATACACCACGCGTTCAGGGAATTGAACGGGCTTTCAGCGCATATTCGGTTGGCAGGCTGCGAATTGACCAGCGCTTTTTCTTTCACGAAGGGTGGCAAGCAGGGTGGAGTCGACACGCCGGATTTGGTCAACATTTTCGTGGAGCATTTGCTGTATGACGCGGTCGTTCTGTGGTCGAGGAGGGGCATGGGAAGGTCTTTATCGAACGGAGCCCCGATCTCCCATTTGATATGGTGTGACAATCTTTGGTTGTTGGCCGACAGCAGAGCAAGTGGTGGCAGCAGCCACTGATGCCATCCGCGCCAGGGGCTTCATGTGAAAAGAGCAATCGCTCCAGGCTATGGCTGGCAGTGGCGTGACTTTTGGGGACGCAGCAGGCGTCCGCTGTGCAGTGGGGGATTCGACAGTTGAGTTCGCACCGGTGCAGCGCATGTTCATCGTGGGCGATATGTTGGGCAACCAGCCACAGCAGCACGGCGACCAGCATCGATTTCAGGTTGTGTATAGCCGAAGGAGCTTTTTGGGCTAATTCACGTGCGTTTTGTGCTTCGGGCCAGGTGGTTGACAACCTGGTGCCTGGATCAGGGGGCCGAAAACGCCTGCCCTCCACGGAGTAGACAAGTAGCACAGACCTACTTCACAGACTCTGGACGCGGGAACTCAAATTGTTGCGGCGGACGCTTCGCTTGCGCCGCAAACCTGGGGAGACACATGCAGATTATTTACAACGCGCTGCCTTGAGAATCGCACAGTGGATGGCACGGTCCGGATATGCCCCTGCCCATGCAGTCGCATAAGATCGCATTTCCATGGGTTCTACCGCGAGCGCATTTCTTGCATGAAGAACGGCACGTCTTTGCTCAGTTCGGCGAGGGGGTGCAATTCTAGGTTCGAACGGGAGATTTGCAATGATTTCGTAGCCAGACGGCGTCGCTTAGAAGGACTTCTACACCGCGGCGGCGGCCGCCGAGCATCTTGGGAAGATCCGATAGTACGCTGTAGGGGGTAACGTTGGCGTGGAAACAAAAATGATTTGACGTAGCTGGAGTGGAAGAAACGCATCCACGGGCCTTCTTGGAGAAATATTCGTTTGGTGGCATCTGCCATTGCGACGGTGGCGACCAAGGCGGGCTTCTAGCTATGGACATGCACTCAAACAGCCGGGGGGAGGAAGACAGGCCTGTCTTCAAAGGCCCGGAGCCCGAGCCTGACGAGCTCCACGACACCGTTTCTGTTCATGCGGATTGGGCTTCCGAGAGGAAACACATCTTGTATGCGACGGATTCCAACATATTGCAGGGCATTCTATGTGACCAAGCAAGACTGCATGACGAGGGGTGCGAACCTTACTCACGCGGGTGCTGTGCCGGATCGTTGATCATATGGGCCGTACGCAATATGTCCATTGAGGAAGCAAGCGTTGTGGCCCAGACGGACGGGGGCCTGTGCGAAGGTGATTTTGCCACGGTTGCTTGGGAAATCGCCGCACGGGGTAAACCTGCTGGTGACCACCCATACCAGTCTGAACCAATCGTTCTGCACGGGACGTTCCTCGAGTTACCGTGCTCGGATGCAGAAGGGAGGGGCTATCGCATTGGACGAAGCATCGCGAGAAGTTGCCGCTCTACTTTCTCAATTAAGGCAAGCGGCTGGCATTTAGGTATCTTGAGACCGTCATGAACAGAACAGACAGAAAAAGGGGATAAACAGACCAGAACCGAACAGAACGCGCGCGGTTGCGAATTCGCAAACGAGGATCCGCGGAACAAGTTGGCAAGTACGGTTCTCGGATTCGGGTCCAGTGATCGGTTTTGGACGGGACGCAGGGCGAAAACGAAGTTCCGTAGAAAGTAGCATTGAAGGTTATCACCGCTTTCGGGCGCCCGGGGCCCCCTTGCCGGCCCCGGTGCTTTCAACAATCGACCAGGGATGGCAAGCCGTTCCCGTGGAGAGCCCCGGGAGTCAGGACCTTTTCTTCCAGGGCCCTGATGATTCTTCGGATGTGCCCGGGATTTACTCCCTGTCACGCGCACTTCCCCGAGTGGCTCCAGCGACGAGGTGATTCGTCGTCCGTGGGTATAGGGCGACGGGTAGGCGATGGGGGAGGAGTAGGAAGGAGGAGGTGGAGGTGGAGGAGGAGGAGGAGGAGGAAGAAGAAGAATAATAAGCATACTCATAATAATAATGAGAATAATAAGAAGGAGAAGAAGAATAACATGAAGAAGAAGAAGAAGGAGGAGGAGGAGGAGGAGGAGGAAGGAAGAGGAGGAAGGAAGAGGAGGCGGACGAGGAGGAGGAGGACGACGACGACAGCAGACACAGGGCTGCGTGCTACAAGGCTCGTAGCGGGCACGGTCGTGCTTGCAAAGCCGAGCCGAGGAGAAAGACAAGAGGGACGGGAGGGTCGAAGAAGACATGCCACTCGGAGCCGTAGCCACCCGCCGCCAGCGCCGCCACCACCGAGGGGCCCGTGGGCCAGCGCAGGTGGGGTCCGCGGGCCAGCGATATTCCGGGCCGTGCGTTTTTGTGCGTTGATGCGGGGCCTTTCGGGCCCCCAGTCGCCCCGAGTGATCTGGACGCCGACCCCAGCGCTCCGCTCTCGGAGTGTGGGCCAGCTGCAACAACGGCAGCTTTCCCCCCTGGCCAAGATCCGCTCACGATCGGCCCCTGGGCCCCTTGTGGGGTCGATGCGTCGGGCGTTTCGCGATGGGGGCGATCAAGGAGCAAACCCCCAAGAGGCCCCCAGGATGCCAACAGGAAGTCCAACAGAACCCCCAAGAGACCCCCAATAGGCTTCCCAGGGGCATCCAAGACGCCCCAAAAGATCTTTGCGAGAAGACCCACGTCGTTGATTCTACGATGGTCAGGGCCACAGGTGGGTCTCCTGGGAGGGAGGCCCTGCTCGAG